TTTGAAACATGATGCGGTTGTGGGCCAAGCTTGCACAGGTCTGCACAGGCTTGATAAACGGGGGGACGTCAACTCTCTGGAAGAGGTTTGACGGTTGGAAATCCTACTTTGTGAATAAATAAATCTTTTTACGTATAGAATTAACATGTTCTATTTGTGTAGAGATCTGAGGAACAAATCTGTTGTGAAAATAACATGCTGTGAGAGACACGGAGGGAAATATTTGAGTTCCAACAGTGTAAAACTACTACAAACATTAAAATATGAGGAAGGGTGCAGTATGAATAAAGCAAAGAGTACAGCATTTGGCACATTATATATACAGCAATTTATAGCAACGGACCGGACAAGCAAAGATCTTATACTACATTTGACCTTGATTTGTGACCTTGACCTTAAAGGTGAAGTGATAAAAAAGTGTATGCAACTCTCTGTCTAGTGATATTGTCTATTTGTATCAAGTTTCATAAAATTATATTGACTGATTCAAAAATTATTAAGAAAAGACCTTGTTTTAACTTTTAAAGATAAAGTGACCTTGATCTTGAAGTGATGAAAAGTGTATGTGACGCTCTAGTCTGTTCGTGATGCATATATGAATGAAGTTTTGTTAAATTACCTTGTGTGCATCAGAAGTTATGGGCATTTTCATAAGTTTTTGTTTGAAGTGGGTTGGTCTTTACCAGTACACAGTACTGACACTTCAAAATTTTCCTCCTTGGCACACAGTCTACTGTCACCAATTGTTAGCTACAGTTAACTCATTTAAACTTCATTACCCGCAAGTCTGTATAAATACAGCAAATAAAGAAAAACAAGCAAACAGGATGTAAGCTTGAAGACTGAGTGAACACTTGGTTAAATATATAAAATTTTGAATATCACCCTATCTGCATCTGACTGGATTGGGTTCAGAAGACCTAGAGCAGGGGTCACCAACGCGGTGCCCGCGGGCACTTGGTCGCCCACAGGGACCTCTTGGTTCGCCCGCGGGGCATGTTCTAAAAATAGCACTCATCAAAGAGCATCACCTAAAAATCATCTTTAGTTATGTTTTTTTTTTTTTTATTTAAGAAATAACATTTGCAAGGATGTATATTTGAAATGAAAATAATTAATAAAACTTTCATACAGTTTGTCTGGGGTCAAAGTTCAGAATCATGCGTAGACCACTCCCATCTCTTCAGGAGCACAGCTACACGCTAGTTTTACCTCCCAGACGGGAAAATGTCAGAAAAACTTTTTTTTTAAAAACATATTTGCACAGTGGCTGGGAGGTAAAGCCCTTTCACCGTGTTGAAAGACAAGTGTGTCTGTGTCATTAGTGGGCTGTGGCGACAGCAAAACAACGTGGAGCGACCCTTAACCAGCTAACACGCTAGCTTTAATGCCAACTAGCCCCCTGGTGGCTCAACAGACAGAAGAATGTGAGCGCTGAAGGCAGCTTTGAGCAAATTGTAGATGTTTTTCATGAGGCATTTTCAGGTGTGGAGCTCTTGAAAGAAGCAATGATGAAATATGTGAAAAATAATTTATTTAAAAAGAGTAAAAGATGAGACGATTCGTTAAAAATGCAGATCTGAGGATCAGTATTAATGTCACATGATTCATTTATAAATTTCTTTTTTTTTTAATTAAATTAGATATTTTGTGTCTGCAAGTGTTATATTCTGAAATGTTACAAACACAACAGCTGGTGATTGGAAGATTTTATTGTTAATAGGTTCTTAAAAATGCTACAGAAGTCGATAATAGTAATAAATAGTAATAAAATACACATTTTGAATGAATGTTACAAATGTGTTCATTTGTACAAAACAGTTAATAAAATATAAATTATACAGAATTTCAAATGTTACTGATTGAGATTAACATAAAAGAAATGGTAATTTATGTTTAAATATCAATTTTCTGCTGTAGTAAATCGTCCATTATGTCCCCCTTGATTGGGACTGGAGCCAATCTCAGCTGCTTTTGGGTGAAGGCAGGGGACAGCCAGGACAGGTCTCCAGTCCATCACAGAGACACAGACAAAGAGACAAACAACCATCCACACTCCCAGTCACAGCTAGGAACAATTTACAGTCGCACAGAAGAGACAAAACAGGGATTCAAACTGAGGACTCAAGTTCTCGATTGAGAGTTCTAATCCCTAATAATCTATCACAAGCTAAATCCTTACAGATGATCACTGTGTGGAGTCTTTTTAATAAAACAGATCAGATCAGATGTGATCCGGCAGCCATGTATTCACATGCATGTAAATATATTATTATTAATACTATAATTAAAGATGAGCCGTGCAAATGTGTTTGTATCAAACAAGTAGCCCTTCATGTCACTCGGTCCCACTCTCAGTCTGAAAACGGTTGGTGAGCCCTGATCTAGAGCCTCATGTACTAAGACTTGCATGGCTTTCCTACTGAACCGTGGCATACGCTTAAATCGAGAAAACAGCGTACGCACATATAAATCCAGATGTATGAAACGTGCACATGCATGAATCCAAGCGCACTTTTGTACATCCCAATCAAAGTGGAATTGAGCGCAAGAGGAATACTCGACTCCTCCCTTGACACGCCTCCATTTAAATATGCCAGTAGATTTAAATCTGCCCTGCACCTGAGGAATCTCCTCTCTGCACTATTGAAAAGCATGTCTACACGCGGGGAAAAAGAGGAAGTTCCTGGAGACAATTCTAAATGAGGTAGAGACACGTAAAAACATTCTGTTTGGCACGCTGTACTCTGGCATTAACACCAAGCACAAGAGAAGCGAGTGGGACAATGTGTGTGAAGCTGTAAATGCTGTGGGGTCAGAGCAGCGCACACCCGCAGAAATTAAGAAAAAATGGTCAGACATACAGTATTAGGACGATTAAATTAATTTACTCACCAAGAAGCCAACCATCCCGTGCCAGCTTGTAGTCTGTTCCCAACCGTTAGAATGAATGAATAGTGCGTTGAACCAGGCCACCTCACCGCAATGTTGGTTAGCTGCTTTTGCGCATCACATAATTTGCACATTGAGTGAATGTAAATGTTTCCAGTTAACATGAACATATTCATTCTGTGATGGTGCTTTTATGTGTGTGCAGTTGATAGCTCTGCTTACATTAGGAAAACTGGCTGTTGCTGCAAATTGTGCTTTAACGTTGGCCTCTTCAGCTGCATGATGGGAATTTGATACACCTGGTTGACGTATAGATATTTCCATCGCACACAGCTGCCATGGCTCGGCTCAGGGTCGACTGGCACAGTCACCATCAGTCTGCCAGCTCCCTCTGGAATGCCTCTTTTGATAGAAACCCCCGTGCGGTCAGCAGCTGTATGTGCACGGGCAGCGCACGGTTCCTCGCTGTGTCACGCTCCAAGACCGGCCGCAACTCCAAGCACAATTCCAAAAGGATTGTGGGCCAGAAAATCCCCTCTGTCTCTAAATACACGCTCTCTGTGCATTGCGCCATTTGCTATATCCTCTAATAACGCTAAAGCCATTGTTGTTAAAGATATTTTCTGCACTACTTTGTGCATGATTTTATATCCACTTATTGAACTGTATACGTGTGAATGCATTAATTGTTCATCGTGCGTGTCAAGTGTGTACAATAATAGGTTTCACATCATTAACAGTTTCACAGTATCCCCTCAAAGTGTCGCCAATGGACCAATAACCATAGAAGCGTGTGTTTGCCAGCCCTGAAGTTGGTGTGGGGCTACGCACATTGCCCCTGAAGTTTTGCGTGAAAAAGAGGCGTAAGCCACCTTTTGTACATGTGCACCCTTTTTACACAAGGCCCCAGGTGTCACTTGACTTATAAAGAACAAGGATTGTTAAATATTAGGCAGAAGGCGCAATAAAATTGTTAGTATGTAATAATTCAAATCTTGGTCATATAAAATGTGGACACATACCACGGTCCCAAAACCTTAGATATTTTACCATTTTTAGACCAAATAAATGTCTTGAACTGCTATAATTAAATCATCATATTGATGTGTCGTACACACCGTCTACATCTCCCATTCTGGGATGCAACATGCAAACAAAACACATTCATACAAGCACACTGAACACATCCTTCATTAAATAAAAGTAAATTGTGTATAGAAGTATGTCTAAGTATTGTCTTTCACAATAGTTAGTTATGGCAGTGCTATTTATTATAGTAATCCATCACATATGGCCGAGGATGGGTGTGATGTGTATTCCTGTCATGTTGTGATTCAGTCTAGTTGTTGAAATGAACGCCAAACAAAAATGTGTTACCCTCCAATTTACAGTGACTTCCAACCTAAACTTTGAGCTTCTGCACCTGCCGTTGAACGTTACGGAATGGTCTTCATTGACTGCTGTTTTCTTGTTGCTGCAGGGTTAATATCACCGACAGAAACTGTATTATCCAGATTGTGTTAAAATGTAAATAAAAGATTTCTTGAACCAATCACCACATCCACTTTGCTCTTTGCATAATTATCTTGAGCAGATATTGTAGCACATAATTAACAGAATTGATGAAGATGAAAAAAATACAGCCTAAATGGATTACAATGACGAATGTTTGCAAAGCTCGTTATCTCTGGGTTGCACAGAACAGATTGAAATAACCTAAAAAGTCACAAACACACAAACCCTTCAGGCGGCAAAGATAACCGCTCTCCCCTCTATCCCTTCTATCCAACAGAATGCAATTAACTATTATGTGGCCCACTGTAATCTGCTGTTCATTTTATTCTACTTATAAAAAGCAGGGTCTTATCTTGCTAGTCTTTATACAGAGGACTTCTATCCCCTGGCAACAGGCAAACAAAGTCAGAGTCGTCAAATCCTCCAAAAAACGCAAATGCACAATGACTCAAAGAGAAGCAGCAGAGAAACAGTTGTTTTTTTGGTTTGTTTTTTTGGAAAAGCTAAAGGTGACACTGATTTGAAAACAAACTTCAGATCTCAAAAATGCACAAAAAGCAGAGCATGCGTCTTACCATCACTGTCCTGGCTACCCTCTCTTTTCAGCATCTGCACTGCACCCACATACTTCTTCAGCTGGACCTTGAGAACTTCATTTTCCCTGCAGAAAACAAAAGTACAAGTTTTAGGCAACTGTAACTACTGCAAATTGTTGGGGGGAATGGTAGAACCAGGCTGGATTAGATTTATGCCTTCAGAGAAATTAACAGCTTGCAATCAAAACCTTTATGAGCTCCAGGGTCAGTCTGGCAACCGCCTTAATGTAGAAAACGGACTCTACTGATTAGGGTTCATTATATTATAGAAAATAAACTGTTATTGTCGGAGGTAGTGGTGGATGGGCATTTCTGAACAAATGACTTCCATCAGTCATTAAGTTACTAATATACCGTATTTTCCAGCATATAAGTCGCTCCATAGTATAAGTTGCATCAGTCAAAAAAAGCATCGTGAAGAGGAAAAAAACATATATACCAGTAGGTCGCTTCGACATATAAGTCACATTTACTATGCATCACCGCTGACCCATCTTGTTTATTATGCATTTATTCAATGGGCAAAACTGCTTCATTTCGCCTGGGCGGCGCGTTGCCATCCATCCATCCATCCATCACGGCCGGAGCCGCTAGCTCTCTAGCGTTCCTCCGTCTGCACCAGTTGAATGAAGCGAGCGTGCACGGGAGGACTCGCTGTTGCAGTTCTTAGAAATTTGACAAGATTAACACTTAAAAACAATTATTTGTTTGCTTGACATTATAGCAAAGGTGTGTCTCAGTTTAACCTTTCCTTAATAAATGCACTTTAATGGTCAAATTAGCTTCATTTCGCCTGTGCGGTGCGGCGCCATCCATCCATTCATCCATCGCAGCCGGAGCCGCTAGCTCTCTAGTATTCCGCGCACGGGAGGACTCGCTGTTGCATTTCTTAGAAATGTAAAATGTCAGTCAAAAATTGCGATATGAATATGGAAAATAAAATGTATATGTCGCTTCAGCGTATAAGTCACAGGACTGACAAGTCTATGTAAAAAAAACTGTGACTTATACACCGGAAAATACGGTAAATGACAATTTGTGCTTTCTTTGTATTTCATACAAGAAGCATCCACTTTTTTTACACATGTGCCATCGACGGTCTGTGCCTCGCATGTGTAATTTACCCACCACAACTGAGTTATTACACACTCCAATGTAGATGATTTAATATAGAAAATACGCTTGTGAAAATGTCTGGCTTACCATCGTCACATAGAAATAAGATTTGACGGTTTTCACTTAAAAAAAGAAAAAACAATGTGTGCCATAAGTGCAGTTACCGTTTAACACCAACAACCACAGAGTACAAAATAATAATCACTTGGCGTAAAAAGCCTACAGCTAGCTGGGGTCCAACTTGGCAGAGGTTCAAACTGACCAGAACCCACCTGTTGCTATTAATAACTGTAAAATCTGTAGCAGGAAGTAGTTTACATTGTTTTGTGGAAGCATGTGGTGGAGGGAGATGGTATGAATCTTGTGACATTGTGCTACCTGCAGAGCAATAAAAATACTCTTGACTAATGCAGATGGACAGACATAGCTGTGACGCAATGACCACACAGGTATCAAAGGCAGTTCCTCTGATTATAAAAAGACACCTACGTGAATAAACAGAGCGTGGACTCTTGAAAGTGATGTGAAAACTCATAATTAACTTTCGCAAGTGAATCCAAGCAGGAAGCAACAGGTGGCCGGGTTCTGTCCCAGATACAAGCAGGTTGGAGTCCACCAAAAGACAACATATCTGACAAATCAGCACACCTTTGAATAATTCTGGAGTGTTCCTGAAAAATTAAAAGCAAAGTGAGGAACAGAACATGATCTCAGTACTGTGATCAGCAAAGTTGCACAAAAATAACTACGCTGAAAAACAGCACGGGCAGAAAACTAACAGTAAACTCGTTTAAACACTACGCTACAGTACATAAAATGCCTCCATCTTGGGATTCCTTAATCCACTCTGGACATTTTATTTTTCTTGACTGGGTCTCAAAATGCCCTGATTCAGCTTATTTAGCACAGCTCCAATAAGCAATGTTTTTTTTTCATTCTGAAAATAAATGCTGAATAATCGAAGGCGCAAAAAGGCAAACTTTTTTACTTTCTAGGCAAGTCGGTCACATCACAGAGTGAGTATAAATCAGTGCAACAAGGCGTTAGAAAATTGAATTTATATCAGAACAGATAAAAATAAATGACTGCACAAGCAAACTGACAACCGTAAAAGACATGAGTAACTGAATCAGATTTAATTATGACCAAATCAAAACAAAAGCCAACAACATATCAAATGAACATGTTTTCATTTATACAAAACAAAAAATTCTAAATTATGAATGTTTAACTCGTGTGGATATTATTCTTTCTGTAGAATGATGGACTCCAATTTATTTGTGGTTTATTGTTTATTTTATAACACTTCAAACTGATGGATTGAGACAGTTGCTCCTCTGAGGTTATTGCTGATGCCTTTCCACCATGGCATTGTGTCTAAACACACACACAAATTAATAAATAAATGCTCCAAAGTGGCACACCCCTAAAACCCTTGCTTGTATGTATTGAAAATCACTGAACAGCACCTGTCGGGTACAGCAAGCAGCAAAGATGGACTTATTGTTTCAGTGTTTTACATTTGTTTTTATTACATTCAAAACCTGTAACTGTGTAAAAAGACAAGAGCTGTTGTTTAGCTGAAGTTGGATTTGAGTAATTTTATGACCTGTTCTTTACAAGACAATTATTATACATGACACCTAAAAGCAATAAACTGCAAAAAGGTAACCATTTATTAACATGTCCAAGTATTTCCAGTCAGGTCGTCTGGACGGTTTCTTTTTTTTGTGCTGAGGCGAAATGTCTCAGCACAAAAGCAGAAAAAAATGTGAAATTCATTACAACTTTTCTGTAGTTTACTTTTTTAGAGGGGTTGTCATATATATATATATATATATATATATATATATATATATATGTATAAAATATAGCATAAAAAGTCATTTGAAAAGTATAAAGTAACTATTTTTTTATTTTCTAGACTGACAGATTTCTCCCCTAATTTTTTTTTCATTCAAAGAGATTATTTCAGCTCATGTGACTATTTATATTTCATACTTGATAATTTATTAAATTACATTTATCACAGTAGTTACCTCTCAGTATGATTCTAAATCAAGTTTAGCTCATCTAAACAGCTACAGCACCTCGTTGTTAAAACACAGTGTGGAATTGAATTTAGCAGATATTTAGGATAAAAAGACAAACACCTGAAACTGAGTCTCTCACAGAGAAAACTTTGTGAGTTTTGCAGGAAAATTAAAGCTAAACAGACACACTCTCTATACTGTAATCTGGGGCATATCTCTATATATCTCTAGATCTCTAGATCGATAGATATTTGTATTTACATGTTAATATTTATTTAGAAACACTAAATCAGCAGGAACAGCCTCACTCACTCAATCGGAGCTCGGTCACGCTCGCAGGTTGCACGTCTGTACCATGATGATGATGCTCCACACATATTAACTAACTTTATAACTTTTAACTTTATAAACTTTATTGTCATCCTAAAGGGCAGCACGGTGGCGCAACTGAGTTTCCTCCGTGTACTTCAGTTTCCTCCCACAGACCAAAAACATGCATGTTAGGCTGATTGGTAACTCTAAATTGTCCCTAGGTGTGAGTGAGAGAGTGAATGGTTGTTTGTCTCATTTGTCTCTGTGTGTCCCTGTGATGGACTTGCGACCCGTCCAGGGTGTACCCCGCCCCTCGCACAGTGATTGCTGGACATGGGCACCGGCGACCCCCGTGACCCAAAATGGAATAAGCGTGTAAAGATAATGGATGGATGTCATCCTAAATTGTACAGTGCACCAGGCAAAATTGAACAAAATTTTGTTCCATTTCTGCACATCACTGTAGGATATAAACATGTATATAATTTACAAACCGGATTCCAAAAAAGTTGGGACACTAAACAAATTGTGAATAAAACTAAATGCAATGATGTGGAGGTGCCAACATCTAATATGTTATTCAGAATAGAACACAAATCACAGATCAAAAGTTTAAACTGAGAGAATGTATCATTTTAAGGGAAACATCTGTTTCCAAATTTCATGGCGTCAACAAATCCCAAAAAAGTTGGGACCAGTCCATTTTTACCACTGTGTGGCATCCTCCCTTCTTCTTACAACACTCAACAGACGTCTGGGGACAGAGGAGACCAGTTTCTCAAGTTTAGAAATAGGAATGCTCTCCCATTCATGTCTAATACAGGCCTCTAACTGTTCCATCGTCTTGGGCCTTCTTTGTCGCACCTTCCTCTTTATGATGCGCCAAATGTTCTCTATAGGTGAAAGATCTGGACTGCAGGCTGGCCATTTCAGTACCCGGATCCTTCTCCTACGTAGCCAAGATGTTGTGATTGCTGCAGAATGTGGTCTGGCATTATCGTGTTGAAAAATGCAGGGTCTTCCCTGAAAGAGATGACATCTAGATGGGAGCATATGTTGTTCTAGAACCTGAACATAGTTCTCTGCATTAATGGTGCCTTTCCAGACATGCAAGCTGCCCATGCCACAAGCGCTCATGCAACCCCATACCATCAGTGATGCAGGCATCTGAACAGAGTGTTGATAACAACTTGGGCTATCCTTGTCCTCTCTGGTCCGGATGACATGGCATCCCAGTGTTCCATAAAGAACTTCAAATCGTGACTCATATGACCACAGAACAGTCTTCCATTTTGCCACACTCCATTTTAAATGACCCCTGGCCCAGTGCAAACGTCTGAGCTTGTGGAGCTTGCTTAGAAATGGCTTCCTCTTTGCACTGTAGAGTTTCAGCTGGCAACGGCGGATGGCACGGTGGATTGTGTTCACTGACAATGCTTTCTGGAAGTATTCCTGAGCCCATTCTGTTATTTCCTTGACAGTGGCATTCCTGTTTGAGGTGCAGTGACGTTTAAGGGCCCGGAGATCACGAGCATCCAGTAGAGTTTTATGGCCTTGACCCTTACGCACAGCGATTGTTCCAGATTCTCTGAATCTTTTGATGA